AGAGAGAGAGAGAGAGAGAGAGAGAGAGAGAGAGAGAGAGAGAGAGAGAGAGAGAGAGAGGTGAACATCATTTGATGTAGCCGCATCAATTTTTATCACATTGTCTCCGTGTGTGTGTGTGGAGAGAGAGAGAGAGAGCGAGAGAGGCGAACATCATTTGATGTAGTTGCATCAATTTTTATCACATTGTGTGGAGAGAGAGAGAGAGAGAGAGAGAGAGAGAGAGAGAGAGAGAGAGAGAGAGAGAGAGAGAGAGAGAGAGAGAGAGAGAGAGAGAGAGATTCCTTTTCAGAATTGACAGTGATGAAGCGAGACCTTCTGTCTCTCTGTCTCTGTCTCTGTCTCTGTCTCTGTCTCTGTCTCTCTTTCAGGTACACACATACACACACGAGTACACACAAACACAGGCATGCACACAAATACACACACACACACATACACACACATACACACACATACACACACATACACGCACATACACACAGCCCTCCGTCCCGCATATCTGCTTTCGCCTTCAATCCCTGGTCGACAGTCTCTCCGAGCTTGGGCAGTGAGCGTGCGATTTAATGGTAAGGGGCAAGTTCAATGCACATGACAATGACAATGACAACAATGGCGATGGCGATGGCGATCTCTCTCGCAGTCGCCATCGCTGCTGGCAAAGTGGATGACGACCACATTCTGATTGCGTCAGCAGCGGGGTCGGCCACAAGGATCACGGCTAAGAAAAAATGGCAACCTTGTTTCCTATGTGGTCTTTTTTTTTTTGCCCCCCCTTTTTTTTGGGGGGGGGTGGGGGTTCTTTTTTACCCTCCGCCGCCGTTTCGTTCTCGCCAGCGTGGATGGACCGTTTCCTCCTCGTCTCGGCTATCATCGTCGCTCAGCTTATTTTACAGTGCATTTTTTTTTTTTTTTTTTTTTTAATAATTTAATTTAAATGCTGTGCTTTGGACCGTCCGGCTCTTTCAGCAGAGATGATTCGAGACGTGGCAGCCGTTAAAATTGTTGGAATTATTCTAGGTTTCTTTCTTTACTTTTGATTTCTTTAATTTTAATTTCAGGAGATTAGCTTGGCCCTTGTTCAAGGGTGAGACGCGGAAATGAAGAAATCAAAATTAAAGAAAAGAAACCTAGAATGAGAACGGTGAAAAAAAAAAAAGGAGAAAAAAAAAAAGAAAAAAAGAATGAGAACGGTACAGAAAATTACCGCATCGTCGCCTCTGCGCAAGGCTGGCGCGCACTGACCGTCCCCTCTCTCTGTCTCTCTCTCTCTCTCTTTCTTTCTCCCAAAAAAAAAAAAAAAAAAAAAAAGGAAAAACTGAGCTTCGCAGGGTGCAATTTCGCCAGTGAGCCAAGCTTGCTGAGCATTTTTTTTTAATAATGAATTTATTTTTAAGGCCTTGATGATAACGGCTGTTCATCTCGTGTCTTCTTTTGCAGCATGCATCGTGGATCATCTTTTTTTTTTTTTTTTCCCTTTTTTTTTTTCACAATTTGTAATTTTTAAAAGATTTAATGACGTTGAGTATACGTTTGAGAAAGAGAAAGTCAAGAAAGCGGCTGGAATACTCGCAGCATTTTTTTTAAGAAGACAATTTCTTTCTTTCTTTTTATTTTTTATTTATTTATAAGCGCCTGTGTCTCGATCGCTTCCTCCGTTTCTGCGGCAAATGCCCCTGAGTATTTATAAGCGTTCCTGAGTTAACGTCGTCGGTGCATATTTTGCTGATGTGGCACGACTGCCTTTTCCCCCCCTCCGAACACAAAGCACCCTCCTTTTTTTTTTTTTTTTTTTTTTTTTTTTGATGTACAACAAGGCGCACCTTCATTATGACGGCATGGAACCGGAAGGATAGCTTGTATACATTCATTCATAAGGCGGGTGCGTTGTGTTCGGGGGAAAACATTGGTCTACATTTTCCTCGCAGTTGTGTGGCATGGCTGAGCGGCAGATGGCTAGCTGAGCGACGGATGGGGGGGGCGCGTGACGATGCGGACCTGGAGCGAAAAGTAATTAAAGTTTTGTTTTAAAAAAAAAAAAGAAAAAAAAAAAAGAAAAGTAACAGCAGTGTCTTTCGAGACATCCGTTAAAAAATTGGATCGATACAGAGAATGAAGATTAGCATGGCGCCACACACAAATCGAGAAATGGTCCAAATTTTATATTAAAAAAAAAAAAACAAAGTAACGACGCCGGCCGTGGAAGAGATGAAATAGGTGGAGGAATTATTCACGGAGAGGATTGGAAAAAAACTTAAAGAAATGATAAAGCCTTCTTTTTTTTTTTTTTAAAGGGTTGAAAAACCCCGATGTGTGCGGATTAAAAAACGCTGATGCGAGGGAGAGAATGAGGAAAAGAGGAGAGGAGGGATCGTGGTGGCGGCAAACAGGAAGAAAGAATGCAGAGAGAGAGGTAAGAAAGAAAAAATGCAGAGAGAGGTAGAGAAAAAAGGGCTTTTTTTATCATTTCATTATCCCCAGCCATTCCCCTTTCCCCCTGTTTCTCCCTCATATCCCCTTATCCCCAGCATTTAACTCTCCGTTAAATCACCCACCCCTTTTCGCCATCTCCCTCTTTAAATGATCAGGGTCCCCCCTAATTCCGCCCCACAATTCCGCTCGTTCCCCTCGTTCCCCTTGTTGCCCT